AAGATAGCTGGTGTGGCAGCAGCCCCTCCATCATTAGGGTTGAACATTCAAAATCGGATAAGGAAAGTCTCGAAATACAACACAGTGAGCAGCGACTAAATTACACTTTTGATATAGCTAAGCTCCAAAAATGATGGAAACTTTTACGTATTAGATCAGTATCATTAATAAACAGGAAAAATCTGATGTAAAGACGATGATTGACAAAGCAAGGGTAGCGATTCTATGGTGATGTAAGTACATTCACTGACATATTTATAATCAGTTTTAGGGATACTAAATCTACAGAAAATTTCTTTGTAAACTTTTTAATTTTGTAATTTATCTATAGGAATTTAAATTTCTTATTTCGCACAAAAATCTTCAGTTGCCCAATACGAAACACCTTTATACATGAAATTGACTGTCTATTGTTTGTTCAGGTTCTTCCTGATGACATTGAAAATCCATAATCTCTGATTCACTAGGTTGTGGCATAGACGGATACCTTAGTTTCATCTTGTTATTGTGTCGCTGGTTATAAGTTTCGTTCGATGGTACACAGGTTTATCATTAGTATGACGAACATAGAAATAAATTATACAACTAGTCAATTACATTAACGATGTTATGAATAAAAGCACCTAGAATATACACATATTAAAAACAGAGAGCTGATCAGTACAATCTGTAAACCTAGAAGTATCTACCCTTGAAGACACTACAAATGCACCTTATTGAAAAGTACCACCTATTAGGGAAATCTAAATTCACGGTCTCCTGTTGATTGTCTCTAATCACCAATGAATATTATCAGAATACAAATTAGTCAAAAGTAATAAAAGCGCCGACAGTCATGGGGATCTAGTTACACTACCAATAATCTCTGACAGTGATTGGATTGAAAATTCCTTTCTGCCGCACCTTAATATTTAAACAGTTATTTAATTTTTACACATTTGAAATCATCAATCATTCATGGTGTTAGGATATTCATCCAATATCCTAAGAGAATTATTGGTCAAAATTATGGTCGTTTTAACTGTCAAAGTCAAATACTTCAGTGTTGTCTCTTGTTGGACATCCGAACTGTTAATGTCATTCCAAATGTTCTTTCTTATTGGACGTCCTGATTATCAATGTCACTCCGAATGTTACTTCCTATTGGTCGTCTTAACTGTCTATGCCACAGAATTCGATGCTGTTTCCTATTCGACCAAACTGTATAAATACGCATTATCTGTAACGTTTTATGACCACGACCAGGGCTCGGTCCCGGATCCCTAGTCTGGGATCCTGATTCTCTTCTGGATTCGGATCTCGTACTTTCTGAATGCTTGTAGAATACAGGTTCTACTTCATATCAAGTCTCTTCTTCTCTCATTCAATTGAGGGGGGGGGGGCGTTAGGACAATCGGATTAGAGTAGCATGTCGTGTCGACGGTCGGACCCTCGATCCTCGCTCTCGTTTTTCCGACTAGGGTAAACTCGTAATAGATGAAGCATATCAAGTTGTCACGTTTACATGCAGGCGTAACACATTGTTAGACCACCATTAGAAACCTGGAACCACTGGACGGCTGTTTCGTTCTGGTATGGAACTCATCAGCAGTGCGCATCCACGACTCCTGCATCTCGCAGGATTCGAACCCGGGACCTTCGGTATTGTGCGCGAACGCCTAACCACTGGGCAGGCAACCGACGGTTATTTAATTACGCGGTATTTTTCAAATGATAGTAACACTTTATCTAAAATACTTTAATTTAGTTCAAGTCCTTCAATGAATTCTAATGAAATGATACATTGTTATTCGATGAGTAAGAGATGTTTATATGTTTCTACTGTTTTATTCATGATTGCTTTTATGCTGGTTTTGTATTTTTTTCTATGATTGATCATGTATTTAACGCATTGACATTGATTACTCACTCATTTGTTTAAATCACATGATAACTTATTCATTTTATATATAATGCATCATGTACTTCCTCAATGTTATTTATTCGTGTTCTCTTAAAATCACTTTGTTTGTTTGTGATTTTTAAAGTAATATGTACTGTCAACATTTCTGAATTCATATGATGAACATTCATATTTGATAAATGGATGATTGTAAATTTTATTTCTTTCTATATATATTCAGTAGTCATCATTGAGCATTTAGACAAATATTTATAATACGTATAGCTTGAGCCCAAGTACCTCAAGTCTCCGGATAAATTAACTAATCCAATTTTATTCGCTTCTATCTTGATTGTTTCTATTCCAGTACGTGTGTGCAGACAGACAGATACAATGCAGAACTTAGTACATAAGTACATCAGTTCAGGTTGCCATACCACATAAGCACAGAGACCCAACTGTCAGTTCAAATCCACGAAAGATAACAATAGTAGAAGTATGAGCAGTAGTGGAGAAGATTAGGGAGCGAAGATATCATTCGAAAAGTATAATTCAGTGAGATAAATTTAGAAGGAGAAAGATAGAGATGATGAGGAATTCAGAAAGTTAGAATTAGAAAGCAGACAAAGAGTGGATGCACCTGCTCCATTGCAAACGATTCTAAGCCATGTCGTTCAAGGTCTCTAACCATTGGTGACTTTCATCTCGCGGACCGCAACCAGATAGCCTACATCTACAAATATGACTCAGTTCACTTGTCAGTGACTTCATGAATTTCTGCCATGTTGTGATCTGTGAGCACAACTTTGCTTATTTTGTCTGACTATAAATACTGAGTCATGTTTTGGCTCGTTAGCACTTTCCACTTTGTTTGGCTTGTATGCTTTTGATTCTTACAATTACCCTTAAAATAAACTCATTCAATCTAATCTGTATTCTATTTCTTATTATCGATATCGCACAAAACCAAGTTTGCCTAAGTCATATAATATACGAAAATGAAAAAGGAACTAACATATTCGACAGTTTGTTCAAAACTAGATCATAGGCTACTACTGAAGCAATCAGCCATACTTCAAAATCAACTCAGACATTAAATATTCTTTTCAGTTATGCAAATCAACATCACATTTGTGGAGAAATGGTAAAAAAGATAAACGATTTCTTCACTTCAGTTGAACTTACAGAGTTTTTTTGAAAGTTAAAAATTCATTTATGGCAAAGTTTTAACAAGTAAAAACAAACTTTCATTTCTTATTGATCTGACAAAGATTTTAAAATTCTACCGGTAACAACTAACTATTCAACGAAAAGTTAATGATAAGAAAAATGAATACATCAAAAGAACGTTGAACATTGAAACCCATGCATCATTATGATTGTTAGACCATCCTTAAAACATGAAAACACTGGATGGAACCCTTTCTTCTTAGTGAATATAGGACTCATCCAATGGGCAGTGCACATCCATGAAGATGTGCCAAAGATGTACATTAACCTTATACAAGCTCTCTACTCGAACACCACTGGTCGAGTGGGAGCTTATGGCGAACTGTCACTGGCATTCTTCACTTCAAGTGGTGTCCGTCAGGGATGTCCACTTTCTCCATTCTTGTTTAATTTTATCATAGACATGCTCCTAGAAATAACCTTATCCTCGTCTGAATTTTCAGGAGTAGACCTTTTACCAGGTGGCTCGCTTATTGACTTAGAATATGCCGATGGCATAGTCCTATTTGGTGAAGATGCTGACAAAATGCAGAGTCTTCTGACTACCATAAGCAACAATGCAGGCCTGTTCGGGATGCGGTTTTCCACCTCGAAATGCAAGATGTTGCTTCAAGGTTGGGTCGCATCGGCACCTGAACTAGTGATAGCGAGTGAAGTAGTCGAGCGTGTTGAACACTTCACTTATCTGGGGAGTCTCATCACTGCTGATAGCCTGGTGACTGACGAAATCTCAGCGCGGATACAGAAAGCTCGATTGGCTTTTGCCAACCTGCGTCACTTATGGCGTAGGCGTGATATCCGTTTGCTGACTAATGGACGAGTGTACCGCACAGTAGTTCGCTCCGTCTTACTTTATGGCTGTGAAACATGGCCAGTGAGAGTAGAAGATATTCGTAGGTTACTGGTTTTCGATCATAGGTGTCCCAGAAGCATTGCTCCCATATCTTGGGACAACCGAGTGAGCAACACTGTTATTAGGAAACGAGTACTAGGTAAGAATGGCAGATCAATTGATGAAGTGGTGAAACTTGATCAGTTGAGGTGGTTGGGACACGTGTTGCGTATGCCTAACCACCGATTGCCTCGTCGAGCTTTGTTTTGTGGTGTAGGAGTAGGTTGGAAGAAAGTTAGTGGTGGCCAGACCAAAACATGGCAGCAATCCATGAAGTCATTAACAAGTGGACCGAGTCATGTGGGTAGATGTATGCTACCAAGTTGGGATCCGCGAGATGATAATAATCGATGGCTGCAGACCCTGAATGACATGGCTGAAAACCGTTTACAGTGGCCTGGTGCATTTATCCTTTGTGTTCTCTCAAATCCTGGGTTCTTAAACACCTCTAGTTTTGACTTGTTAAACTTATCTCACTGAATCATATTTCTTCAACAATATCTTCTAATCCTAACCTCTTCGATTACTTCTAATACCTTAACTACCTCTACTACTATTATGGGATTTGAATTGACAATTACATCTCTGTGCTAATAATGTTGTATGTCAACATGAACTGATGTACTTACGTACGTAGTTCTACGTTGCATCTGACTGACTGACTAACTGAGTGCACATCCATGGATTCCTTTTACTACTCACACGATTTTAAACCCAACACTTTCGATCTAACTTCTAAACGCTTAATCTTTTTGCATCACCGCACCAGCTACATCCAACACTGTTCATCAAATGATTTATGTATAATCGAAAAATTAAAAAATATAATGGAAGTTACAAAAATTTTTTTCCCATTTTTTTTTAATAATTATTTATTCATGGAAAAATAAAATTAAAAATAAAACAAAAATAAATTTTATTTTTTTTTAATATTCAACATTCAGGAAAAAATAAAGAAACAATCAATCAAAAAAAAATCTAATTGATCATTAAAATGTTTGAAAATTTTTTTTTCCTAACAATTTGTTATACAGTTTCTCTTATATGATTGAGATTTTAATTGTCATTTGATCTAGGGAAAAAAAATGAAAAAGAATTATAATACATGAATGATAATTATTACTACTATTAACATATTAATAAGTAGTTAGTTATGTTTAGTTGAATTTTAAAATTCATTGATTCCATGAATGAATGAATGAATGAATGAATATACATGATTTGATATGATGCGGTCTACAGATAATATTTCGGATCTATTGGCTAGACACTATCAGCAACAACCTATTGTGGTAAAGAACATACCAGATTCCTGTAGAGGAAGAAATCACAAAGAAGTGTGGGTATATGTGGGTGTAGGAAGAATTTGATTTTGACCAATTTGGTCTCTCGTGCTGTTACGGGTATGAGGGCGGTTGTCACTTCCCGGATGTCCACACCGTGGAAGGGTGTTTCTTGAGGAACCTGAAAAGGAAGGTAGATTAGTGTTGGTCTTAACAACCTGGGTGCATGACCGCAGAGTCCAAGGGAAAACTGCTTGAGGCCGGTCACGCACGGCCTTTTTATGAGAGGTTTTTTGAGGATTAGCTCCGCTCTTAAATGCCCTTAGTGGGCACCCTTACCCAAGGAGACGGAAATCCATGAGGTAGAGTGAGGTGTGACATTTTTAGAGTCGACCTTTTCTAACCCTTCCTTCCTTGTGAGAGGGCAGAATCGCTGCAGATGCTGGTTGTCCGATGGAAGCACCTGACTGCTGTCACACTCCTCCATCACAGTCAGCAGTACGACTTCGCCCTCAGACCTTGAGTAGCTGCTTTTAGTCTCATCGTTCTCCAATCGACCTGCCTGGCATGGTAGAACCTTGAGGAACATATATTCCAGCCAATATAGCTCGGTTGGTTCATGACGATAGTCAAACCCGACTAACTACGTCAAGGTAGCAGCTACGGTCGGGGCTGAAAGTGAATAGCAAACAAATTGCAGAAAGAACTCAACTGTGACAGAAGATAAGCCATCACCTGGAAACTTCAAGGCCAACGGAAAAGATAAAGGCCAAGGAACACCTTACACTAAGAAAAGGAGAAGAATGAACGAAAATCGGACAGAACTGCAAAGACAGGCTCATGACAGAGTAGGTTGGACAATGCTGGTCAGAGGCCTATGCTCCATAAGGGGTAACAGGCAAAAGTAAGTAAGTAAATGTATGATGAAATTTGACAGAATAGCAAAAGATATTCTAATTGATGGAACAAACGAGTGTACTACTAATGAAACTCATAATTAAAGCTGAAAAATCAACTCATATCACAAAGATTGGTTAAATGTTATATAAATCACAGATGTCCATTGAATGCTTGTGTTTTGAAGTATCTGTTTAATTGTACAATACAACTTTGTCAATCTAAATAATATATTTGGACAGATTTATGCAGAACAAATTGTATTGGCAGAAATATACATAACTATAGTATAGAAAATCAATATATCGATCAAAATCGGATCACCAGCCGACAAAACTATTTTTCTATAAATTTATCAGTCAGTTGCAACGTGGAACTTCGTACGTATGTACATAAGTTCATGTTGCCATACCACATTATTAGCACAGAGACGCAAATGTCAAATCAAATCCCATAGTGATAAAGATAGTAGAGGTATTAATGGTAATGAAGAAGACTTGGGTTCGAAGATATTATTCAAAAAGCATGATTCAGTGAGATAAGTTTAAAAAGACAAAACTAGAGGTATTGAAGAATCTAGAAGATTGGGATTTGAGAGAGCTCAAAGAATGGATGCACTTGCGCCATTGCAAACGATTCCGAGCCATGTCTTTCAAGGTCTCTAACCATTGACGACTTTCGTCTCGCGTACCCCAACCAGGTAGTCTACATCTACCAACATGACTAAGTCAACTTGTCAGTGACTTCATGGATTTCTGCCATGTATTGGTCTGGCCGACCCTAGCATGCTTCCAAACAACTCCTACACCACAAAACATAGCTCGACTAGGCAGTCGGTGGTTAGGCATTCGTAACTGATGAAGTGTCACTACTTCATCTATTGATCAGCCATTCTTACCTAGCACCCGCTTCCTAATAACAGCGTTGCTCACTCGGGTGTCCCACGGTATACGAGCAATGCTTCGAAGACACCTATGATCGAAAACCAGTAACCTACGAATATCTTCTACTCTCACTGGCCATGTTTCACAGCCATAAAGTAAGACGGAGCGAACTACTGTGCGGTACACTCGTCCATTAGTCAGCAAACGGATATCACGCCTACGCCATAAGTGACGCAGGTTGGCAAAAGCCAATCGAGCTTTCTGTATCCGTGCCGAGATTTCGTCAGTCACCAGGCTATCAGCAGTGATGAGACTCCCCAGATAAGTGAAGTGTTCAACACGCTCGACTACTTCACTCGCTATCACTAGTTCAGGTGCCGATGCAACCCAGTTTTGAAGTAACATTTTGCATTTCGAGGGCCTATAAATTTATCAACATAATTATATGATGTCTCAGATCTTCTTCTCTTGCATAGCTTGTTCAACAAGGGTGTAGTAAACACAAGGATCTTAATGTATGTATCTTTAAGAGAAAATTATCAGAAAATACATTTTATATACATTCCAAGCTACATTGAAATTTGAAAAAAATGCTATTATTTGCCTGTATCAGTTGTGACTGGACAGACAGATATTGAGAAAAAGATATATTCACCAAGTGAACTCTATTTATGGTGGTTATCTACACAAGATATATTAGTCAGCCTACAACGTAGAACTTCATACGTACTTCAATGAGTTTACGTTATCATACCATATTAACACAGAGATGAAATTGTCAATTGAAATACCATACGTGGTAGATGTGCTAGAAATATTATCGACAATGGATAAGATTGTGGTTCGAAGATTAATATTCACAAAGTATAATCCAGTGAAATAAATTTTAAAAGAGAAACATAAAGGTGATGAGGAATTCAGAAGATGATAATTTGAGAAAACACAAAAGATGAATGCACCTGCACCAGCACTAGATATATTAAGTGGATAATGGATAGGCAGACACTATTTTAAGCTGTGAAAATGAACCAAGATTTGAACTAATTGTTAAAATAAGACCAGATGGGTAGTTTTCTGAGATGTATCAGTACGATAAAGGCCATTAAAAATGTTCAGCATACTCAAACTACTAAGTAATTATAAGTAGTGTAGCGCGTTACACAAAAATCCAGTAAAATAGACGTACAAAGAGAAAGTTAAAGGTGATGAGGATTTCAGATACGGATTTGAGAGAGCGCAAAGGATGGATGCACGTGCGACATCGCAGACGATGTTCAGCTATGTCATTCAAATTCTCTATTTATAGGTTACTATAATATCGCGGACCCCAAACAGGTAGCTTACATTTACCAACACGGCTCAGTACACTTGTCAGAGATCTAGTGGATATGTGTTATGTTTCGGTCTAGCTGCCCTAGCTTTCTTCCAACCTACTCCAACACCACTATAACATCGTTCCTTGAGGCAGTCGGCAGTTGGGCATAAGTAACACATGTCCCAACCACCTCAACAGATAACCACTCAGTCGATTTTCTATCCTTACCTAGTACCCGTTTTCTGACAAATGCATTGTTTACTCGATGGTCCAAGGATATACGAGAAGTGCTTCGAAGACATCTATAATCGAATACTAATAACCTACGGATGTCTTCTACTCTTAGCGGCCATGTCTCACAGCAGTAAAGTAGGATGGAGAGAACTACCACGCAGTACACTGGTCCTTCAGTTGGCAAACGGATATCTCCCCAATCGGAAAGGGCGGCAAGACAGGCTTTCCCAGCTAGACCTGGCACCCCGAGCGGATTACCGAGGCACCCGGCAGCCGTTCCAACCGTTTGGCCTCGAACTGCCTTGCGCTGATACAATTGACCGGATCCCTCAAACCCCACATGAAGCTAAAGATCGAGTTTGTCCCACAAGGTCAGCCAGAACGTACACTCTCCCATGGGGAAGATGTCATGGACTCAAGCAAGCAAAGGCACTCGGCCAAGCAGGGTTAATCCTACTACATAAGTGGGCAGACATCATTGGCGTCTAGTACCCTTTAGCATCGGAACACATAATCCAACTGGAGACCCTTGTTTAAGGGGCCTCAACGCCAGTTTACACAATACACCGAGATGCACAGTGTTCGGGACAACCACATTGGATGGGCGTCAATAGTCCAGGATCTCTACGGCTGCTTCCCCAAACAGAACGTCCACGGCCGCCTTCAATCATCCTGCAAAGCTACATCCCTTTCAAGGTACTTGCTACTACGGAATGATACAGGAATAGTCCTTAAATCATTATCGGAATTTACCTATGCTCGATGGACGGGATTCAGACTTGGAGACGTTCAGTCCTGATCCCCCAGAGTCATTCATGAGCAAGACCTGCGGAGTAGTAGGGGTGATGGATGTGCACTGAGACTGATGAGTCCCATATTAGGATCAAACGGATATCTCGTCTTCGCCATAAGTGACACAGGTTGGCAAGAGCTAATCGACATTTCTATATCCGTGATGAAATTTTGTCAGTCACCAGGCCATCAGCACTGATGAGACTCTCAAGATAAGTGAAGCGGTCAACAAACGCAACTACTTCACTCGCTATCACTAATTCACGTACCGATGCGACCCAATCTTGAGGAAACATTTTGCATTTCGAGGAGGAAAACCGTGTCCCGGGGTAGTTAGCGTCTTCACCAAATAGAACTATGTCATCGGAATATTCTAAGTCATCACGCGTCGAGGCAGTCGGTTGTTTGGCCTATGTAATACATCCCCCCCGCAAACCGAATATAAACTATACAGTATATAACTACATAAAACAATAGGAAACCTCATTATTAAGTTGATTTTTATCAAGTAACTCATTAGGTACCTTTAATTTACAATAGGCATATGAAATCGATCGATATTTGTTAGATAATTATATATATATATATATATATATGTATATATATATATACTGATAGACACCTATCATCTAACTTATGCAGCAAATTGCTTTCCTTTGGTTGTTTG